TTTACATACAAATGCATGGCTCACTTTTGATATATTTCTTGGTTCCTTCAGCATTTTTAGAGTTTGTTTTAGAGGTTTCCCGGGTGCAATACAAAATTATATAGCTACGCGCTGCTCCTTTTATTCTTTTATCAATAAAGACTGCCTGTTCTCTGATATTGATGTCTTTTGAATGAAAAAAAAAATACAATACCTCATAATTTGGCATCTGAGATAATGTGACAATACTAAGTTTGAACGTTATATTAAATTTCGTTTTAGTGCAAATTATAAGAGATATGATTACAGACATTATATAAAGTATATTGTTATTAAATTGCTCAATTTTGACATTGCTCCGTGACCACATTATTGCAGTCTTAAATTTTAGATAATCGATTTTTAAACCAGAGCAGGCTACTGACAAATAGTTGATCTTGCAGGACTTTCAACAATCTTGTGTACAGTCAATATTTCGTAAATTCTAAAATCCTTTTCATAACATCATTTGCAAGTACAACCTATCGTTGAGTTGTATTTTGACTGTCATGTTTCATACCAATTGTTAGGCCAGTGGTTTTTATATAATTTTGACTACGGATTCTCTCTTTACCTGATCAATACAAGGTTCACAACGGATGTGACCGGTCGAGTTGAGATGCTTACTTCTCGTAGGCACTGGATTCCACCTCCGGTCTTTCCAGGAGTCTGTGTTTTGCCCTGTTCTCAATTTGCATTGTTTGCAAATCAAGATATTTTTAAAATTTTGTTTCATATCACAGTTCCATCACGTTTTGTTCATAGATCTGCCCCTGCCATGAGATACCAGTTGATTTAGGAATGGCCTTTTATTTTACCTATCGTTAGGAAGGAATTTGCTTTTACTGAGTTCGCACAAATTTTGCCAACCACCATTACCGGATGAAAAGGAAAAGACCAGTCAACTAGCTCTTATGAATGTTCAGAAATAAAATGCTGCCGTATTACATTATCTGAGCTGATTAAGGTATACATTATATATAAGAACTGCTGTAATCATCAGATTCGCATCAATCTTATTTTTCATGTATTCTTCTCATATTTTACTGTTATAAAAACTTATCATATTCCTTTTCTTCAACAGTCATGAGTAAAATGTTCGTGGACTTTCTGTACAACCCTCGTATATTTTATTTCCTGAATCTATGGATTGGATAGACTAGTAACTATTATAATTTGACTATCAGTATAAGAGTGTATCGTTAACAGATATTCTGATGTCTTTAGATTTTTAACTTAAAAATGAAATAATAATACACTGCTTTAACGATGGTAATTAGAAGACGACAGTTTCTGAATGAATGATTAATTTTGATTCATTATATGAACGTTATGGCATTGAAGTGAATACAGTAACAACAGCGTGGATGATTCATATAAGATCATAGTTGCATCATATTATACTTATAAGTTCCCTTTGTCATGTCATTGTGATTGATAAAGCTATATACGAGGGTTGATCCAAAATAATGTCACAACTTTTATAAAAATTTTAATAATCGAAAGTTTACAACAAAACTTAATATACTCATATCTCTATCTATTTTGGCTTTTGACCTAAAATTTCATTCAGATATATGCAATAATTTATAGAAAATTAAAATAAACACAACTTTGGGTCTCGTCTTTCGCTGCATAGAAAGAACGTACCGACGTCGTTATGACTTTCTCTTCGACACAAATTTTGAATCTGATGATACATAAGATTTATGTAAAAAGGAATGAATTTAGAAATAATATTTGGACAAAGTTTAAATAATTTTAATACTACAACTCAAAACAAGACTTTTTATAGCAAAATTGCAGTAAAGATTATTAAAAAGAAGCATGCGAGAGATTAAAAAGATATGCATATGAACTGAAAATGAATGTCGTAATGTAACGTTATAACAACGTCGGTAACATTCTAGCCGTGCGACGATAGACAAAACCTATCGTTGTTTATATTTTAAAATTTAAAAACAGTATTTTATAAAATAGAATAAAATTTTAAGGGAAAAATCAAAATAGATAGGGTATTAATATGTCAAACTTTGTTAATAACATTTGATTATTAAAGATTTTATAGCAGTTGTTAAATTACTTTTGGATCAACCCTCGTATGTGTTGGTTCTAATGCTGATACCGAGTATGTATATTTAACCATAAAAAGATTGTATTTTCTGATAAAAATCAATTTTTAATTTTTGGTTCGGAGTAAGTTCCGTTCTAATATTTCTTTAGGTAAGAAAGCCTTGTATACTTCAAATATAATAGGAACGGTTAAAGGAATACAAGTACTGGTACTGTATCTTCTGCGAAAAAAAAATTGGGGGACTAGATGGGAGAAGTCAAGTTCACTATAGAAAGAATAAAAGAGTTGAATTTTTCACAATGGCCAAACAATTGACATGAAACATGTCAGTTAAAATATGATCAAATGATGTTGTTTTTACACACTGGGTCATTATAACGACCACAGAATTTGCAAAATGCCGATTTTAAACGAGGTTGTTGAAAGTGCTGTAAGATCAACGTAAGTGTCAATAGCCTGCCTCGGTTTAAAATTAATCGTACTCAGAACATGCTCTTGCAAATAGTATTTCGTGAAAAAGACATACAAACGATTTTAATTGCAGCTCAATATTATAAATGACACAATATCAACTCTGTTTGCTGACATAATTATACCTACCTCCAACATTATAAAAGGACACAATAATACAATATGTAACACTGTCCAATAATATAATCATACGAACTTTCTATATTATAAATGACACAATATTTTCCATGCTTAAGCCATCGCCTAGCTGACGCAGTCTTTCATAGAAGTCATAATATCTATGAAATTTTGACACAAGTTGAAAGATCGGGGTTCCCTAAATTTCGGCCCTGTTAAAAATAAGTGATTTAAGGTCCTCATTATTAATTATATTTCCGTAACAGAACTGACGTGTCCAGCAGGATGTAGTTGTAGGATGAAGAAGAAAACAAAGGAGGATTATGATTCAGATGTCTAGACACTGTATAGTTTTTTGTAATTAGAAAGTTAAGAATAGTCGAATGACGATGGATATCATACTGAAGCAACAAACAACATTTTCAACGGAAAAAATATCTTCATGTGATTATTGTAGTAACCAAACGTTTATAAAAGCTGATATATTGTAATTGTTAATATTTCCATACAGTCAACGATATGCTTCTACAAGCAGCAGTTTTGAAATCAAAGTTGAATAAACATGTCCAATTATTTAACAGGTTTAAAATTCTTTCTCTGCCAACTCGTTCAAAATAGATCGGAGAGAGTTTTGAATTGCAATTATTTGGTGGCTATTCCAAGTGAATATACACCCTTCAAGTCTCTTCCAAGGAGAGTCATACTTTCGTCGTAGAATGTTTCCCTGTTAACCTATTGCTCTATAACTTATAGTGGAGAACGTCAAATGGCATGATCTGTGTTGAATCTACTTCTGAATGTCATTTTGTTCAGAATAGAAGATGTTAAAGTTGCTAGAGAATTTTTTCCAAAGGGAAATTTTTTTTTATTTAGTTTGATTTAAAATCAACATATCAACACATTGAAATATTTGAGTATCAACACAATGTTTAATTTTTCTGCTCGTTCTCTTTTCATGAGCCATACATTTTTTATATTTTATATTTATTTCGACATTTCTTAATTAATATTGTTATCACAATTTGTATATATTATCTTTTTTCTTTACATTTTCTTCAAAACATTTTTGTTAAAACATATAATGAATGTTATTGAGACATTCAGCTTATTACTATGTACATATATTTGATAATTTAGCAAAATTTTAAGTCTCAATTGGATTATAAAATTCAATTTCTCTATATAAAATGCAACTTATAACATGTATTTTATGTACATCAAAATTTTTATAAATGTCTAGTGTTATTTACAAAGACATGCTGGAATTTTAAAGATCAACGGTACAAATAAAAGTTAAAAAAAGAATTGAAAAGTTTCTTGTATCTCTTGTATCTTAAAAAATCAACCGGTAGAGATACAAGAAACATTTCAATTCTTTTTTACCCCTTGAGTAGCTTACAATATCTTGTGAATTTACTCGCTTTTATTAAAATATTTCTAATTTACGTGTATAACTTGATTGTTTAAACAATAATTGAATTTTTTATTCAATAATGTAGAAGTTTAACTGCATTTCCCACAAAAAATCGTTTCACAAACAGAAGATTGCGTGATTCCTATGTGGGTACTTCAACATGCAATTAAATTTTCAGTTGTGCACTCGGTTGGTCTCATACTGGTACGATGTTAAACTTTCAAAGTAAAACATGGGAGAGGACTACCCAACTTTTTGGAAATTTTGAAAGATTGTGTTCTATCTCTTTGACATACTGTCAATAAAATATGTTCAAATCAAACAAAAAAAAAAGCAAGAAAATAATGAAGATTCATCGTCCTTTTTTTTAAATTATTTTTTTTTAAATTAAGCTACAGTTAAGTGTCGTATTCGTATCCCCAAATGTTAATTTTATGAATGGTGGTGTACAGTAGATTCAGACAAAAGAACTGTTCACAGATACAAAAATACTGTGTATGTACTTTTTTCAGCGTGGGATGAATTTACGCTATGGACCCAATCACAATTTTACCGCGCAAATTTGTTTCAAGTGCATGCAAATAAAGAATACATTAATTTTCTTAGCATTAAAGAAACCCGTAAATAAAACCGAAATTGTGATTCCTGGAATATGAAAAAGTAGGTTTACAGTAATAAAAACAACAACAAAAACCATCTCTAGCCTTCCTTAATCTGCATCTAATCTAAAATAATCTGTCTTACTTTTCTTATTCCCACTTCCAATTTGCATGTATTAAGACAGGGATTAAAATTGTAGCCATAGCAAAATATAATAATGGACTGAGTGGAAAATTACGTTTTCAAAATTGATTTTTAGAAGCATCTCTTGGTATATTTTTCCTTTTCCTGAATGTAGTTGTAATGATGAATTCGAGTGGCAGAGCTGTGGACACACAGCACACCCAGTATAACCCAGTAGATGTTGGAACCCTACCATCCATTGTTTTCCTTGTTATTCTCATGGTCATTGGAACAGTAGCCAACGGTCATGTTTTCGGAATCTTTCTCTTACGTTATAAGAGTAATAGTAAATCAACATATGTCACTTTCGTTCTTGCCCTGGCTTCAATTGACCTACTCATCTGCGTTTGTGATCTTCCATTAGAGATATTGGATCTGAGATACCCATATGACTTCTACAGTGCGACAGGATGTAAATTATATAAACTTGTGAGTGCAACACTAATTTTAAGTTCTGTATTTACTTTGACCCTCTTGTCACGTGATCGTTTCAAACGAATTCGCTATCCTTTAAGCTCACAATGGTCGAATTCCACATGCAGACGGTACATAGCAGCAGTGATATTATTATCATTTATTCTCTCTGCTCCCGTTATTTACATCCACGGCCTACGTAAGGCAAAACTCTCTGACGGTACCGAAGTCGAGCGGTGTTTCTTTGAAGACGACGTTGAAGAGAAATTTAACCTGCCTTTGATATATCTTTCTGTACTTTACTTAATTTTTATTGTTTGTTTGTTCATCTTAATCATGAGTTATACTTGTATATGGATCTCAGTTTATCAGAGCAGAAGGTTCTTTTACCAAGCAGGCAACAAAAGAGAAGATGCATCATTATCAAATATTACCGAGGAGTTTCAAACTGTTTCACGTTCTTCAGCATCTACTGCAGGTCCCGAGCAGGTAGTCTCTACAAACTCCGTAGCTGACTCAATAGAAATTGATTTAAAAAATGAGAAGAAAGTTGACAAAACGGCAACTTCTCACAGTTTGATGGAGTTTTCAGGAAGATTACGATCAATGAATGTGGTACCAAAAATTCAAAGGAAGAGAAAAGTGTTGGTCGGCAATCATCGTTCATCAGTTATCATGTTTATTATAACTTCCATCTTCATTTTCGTCTTCCTACCTTATCTTGTGCTTGGGGTATTTTTGTGTTTAAAAGAAAACTTTAAAGCTAACATGAATGAGGTAGAATTAAGTGTATATCGCCTTTCTATGCGACTAATATTTGTCAACAACGTTGTTAATTGTTTTGTGTATGGTATTTTCGACCCCCGATTCAAGAAGGCCTGTAAAGAATTTTATAAAAAATGCTTTACATTTTAAAACTTTCGAAAACTTTTCGAAACGAACGTATCATTGTCAAAGAAAAATTACAAAGCTTTCTTGACTCATTTGTTGTACTTAGAATAAGTGTTTTTTGGGCGGGTTGGGGTAGGTGGGTTAGTAATTATACTATTTAAATAAGGCTTTCTAAAGTAATATAACGATAAAAATTGATTCAAAATGTTCAAAGACTACACCTTGTTATTTGAATTATAAACGAACTGTGCAGTGCCTAGATATTGACCTATCAAAACAGAGTTCTCCCAAGTGTTCTTGTTCTTCCTCTTCTTTCAACTATAGTCCAGCTGGACACATCATATCTGATGATGCATACAATAAAAGTTGAGTTAGTTTTAAATACTTGTAAGGAGGAGGTCTTTATCAATAAACAATACACTGTTGTACATGGTAATTTGTGTCTAGCCCTTTTTTGCATTATAAAGTGGGGTAATGAAGAGAATGACCTTTCTCAGCTATTTTTAGAAGATTAATTTGATAAGGGGTAAATACAACGAGAATTTAAATACACTTTAGTTTCCGAGGCTGACGAAGGCAATTTAGGGAAGTGAATTGTCTACAATTTTGGGGTATGAAATACTTTGATAGGTTGTTTTAGGAAATTAGGGGAATAAGACCTACGGTAGTCAAAACCAGCGCATTTAATAAAATATATCGAATTCATTTGCCCAACAAAGTCTTTTAAACTTAAAATCTTTTGCACATGCAATATTTTCTGCTAAAATTGTCCGGTAATAATTGCTATAGAGGCTAATTTTAAGGGTACATTTTGCTCTTAAAATTCCCTAAAATTTAGCAGCTTCGGGGGGCTTCATCGGGGCTTTGCTCTGGACCTACCGGGGACTGTCTTGAGCCCCCCTCCTCCTCTGAACCCCGGCTAACTTGCATAAATGACATAGAATTGAGTATATATCTCCTTTCAATGCAAGTGATGTTTGTTACCAACGTTGTGAATTGTTTTGTGTATTGCATTTTTGACCAAAGATTTTAGGAGGTCTGTAAAGAATTTTACAGAAGTTGCGTTAGATTTTAAAAGTTTCGCCATGTAGATTCCATTGTTCAGAAATATTACACAGCTTCTTTATCTGCATACAATTTCATTTGTTATAAGTATTTTTTGGTTAGAAAATATACTACTTAAAATATGGCTTTCTATAGTAATCTTGTAATAAAACGGTAAGAATTTGCTCAAAACTTTACAATGAAATAAGGGAGATTGTGAACAGTGATCTATCTAAAAAAAATCTACAAACAATAGAAATCTGTGAATAGGGCATAGGAAATTCCAGAGGTGAGATCAGGTGCCTTGTAGGAATGAGTATCCCCTATCGACCCGTCAAACCCGCCTTGAGTTCTACGTATTGATTAGGTAGACGGAATAATCCGTAGTCAAATTTAGTATAAAAACAAAGGCCTAACAGTTGGTATGAAATATGCCAGTCAAAATACGACCCAGTGATAGATTGCATATGCTAACAATATCATTATAATAAACATAGAATTTGCGAACTGCTGACTTTAAACGAGGTAGATGAAATTACTGCAACTTCAACTCTTATTTGTTAGTAGCCTGCCTTGGTTTAAAAACTGATCGTACTCAGACCATGCTCTTGAGTTTCGAATAGCGGGAGACATAAGCATCATAGGCAGATGATAGTGGAATATTACTGCAAAAATAAGGAAAACTGACGATGGAAAAGCTCGTCATCTCCTTTATTATACACTTAATTTGCTAGTTGGCCTTCATCGTCTACAGTCAGTAAAACATCCATATGAAACAGTTTTGGCAGACTCTGTGGTGTTTCTTTTCTGCGTTGGGTATATTAAGTCGGATGGAATGAAATATATGGAGATAACGAACAGTATTCAAGCTCAAAAGTCCATTAAACAATACAAATTTTGGAGCAGAGCAAGCAAGGACCTCTAAAACATCATAGGTGGGATCAGGTGCCATAGATGAGTGAGCATCCCCTGCCGACCGGTCACACCCGTCGTGAGCTCTTGTCATGCTCGGAAAATAACGGAAAAATAAATATGTAGACAATTCAATGTGTAAATAAAGGCCTAACAATTAGTATGGAAAACGTCAGTCAGCATTTGACTAAATGATAAATTGTATTTGCTGACAAGGTCATTGTATCGACCATAGAACTTACGAAATGACGACTTTAAACGAGACTGCTGATATTCTTGTTTCATCAACTTGTTTGTCAATAACTTACCTCGTTTTAGAAATTGTTCATACGTAGAACATGCTCTTGCGTATCGAATCAACTGGGAGATATAAACCCCGTATGCAGGTGATGAAGGTATATTGCTGCATAAGTAAGGGAAGTTGACGATTGAAAAGTTAAAGTCATCACGTTTATCATAAAGCTTGGTTGTTAGATTACCATTAACGTCTTTTTCTAGTAAAATATCCAAATATGAAACAGATGTGTCAGACTCTGTGGTATCTTTTATTTCAAGCTCACCGGGATATATCGTATCGACATAAGAATGGAAATAACCATTGTTAATTGACAATACGTCTTCGATATATCTAAATGTCGAGTTGAAGGCCACAGGAAGTGTTTTATTTCTTTTCACGTATAAGATTTTGAACAAATTCTGCTTCATATGAATACAAAAATAGGTCTGCTAATAACGGGGGCGCAATTGGTACCCATGAAAATTCCAACAGATCGTTGAAAGACCTGGTCTCCAAACACTACATAAATATTGTCAATCAGAAACTCAAGCATCTTTTTAATATCAACTTCAGAGTACTTGTGTGTACAATCAGAATGATTTTTAACAAAATAATTTTGCAAATGACCAATGACACGGTAAGTAAATATGCGAGTTCCATTTTTATTGAAAAGCAGCTGTCATTGATATCAAAAAGCCTGGACTTTAATTTATCGTGGGGAGTGGTTGTATATAAAGTTGAAAAGTCTAAGTTTTTATGTTGTTGATTTTGGTAAAATTTTGTGATTTCAAATTTTCCAAAAGTATAACGAAAGTAAGTATTTTAATTTATAAAATGTCGTCGATATATCTGAATGTCGAGTTGAAGGCCACAGCAAGTCGTTTCTTCTCATTTAGAAGTTTTTGAATAAAATCGGTTTGATAAGAATATAAAAAGAGGTGGGCTAATAAAGGAACACGCTTATCGCCCATCCGATTTCAAACAGATTGTAGGATGTCCTGGTCTTCAAAGACTACATGTCACCGGGTTCACAGGTGCGTGAGAGTCAGTCAATATATCGGGTCTCAGTAGCTCAGTGGCTAGAGCGCTGGCACGGTACGCCAGAGGCCCTGGGTTCGAGTCCCGGTTGAGACTTGATTTTTCACCACGTGTGACATTTGGCGCCCAACTTACAAATACCCACTATTCCCTTGGAACATGCCTTACAGCATTTCCTTAATTCCTAGAATTCGAGGACGAATTTCTACAAAGAGGGGGAATGTCACCGGGTTCACGGGTGCGTGAAAGTCAGTTAATATATCGGGTCTCAATAGCTCAGTGGTTAGAGCGCTGGCACGGTACGCCAGAGGTCCTGGGTTCGAGTCCCGGTTGAGACTTGATTTTTCACAACCTGTGACATACATAAACTGAGAAACTCAAGCATCTGTTTAATATCAATCTCAGAGTACCTACAAGTAGATTGATTGTGATTTTCTTAGAAATTAATTTTTAGAAATTAAATATTTTGGAAATAAAAATTTTGTAGAAGACCAATCACATGATATGAAATTTTTTGAGTTCCATTATTATTTAAGAAGCGATTGTCTATGATATCAAAAAAGGATAGTTTTTGATTGTATAGAGTAGAAAAAACAAATGTTTTGATGTTGTTAATGATAAATCTTTGAATATACCTTTATTTAACAAATAAATGTTCAAGAATCTATCCACGTTTTACATATATACTCCCTATACTCTATGTTTTCTTAAAAATGAATTTAATCTAGTCATACAGTATAAACAATATAGTGAATAAAGTGTTCATTGTGGAAAATGGAGACTCTTTGAACAGAATTTACTTCACTTTTAATTTGTCTGTGTGTAATTTGAAAATAAACACAACTTTTCATATTTTACGTTGCGCACCTGACATGGCAATATTTTTAAAACAAATATTTTCGCGACAAAACGGTGTAATTAACAAGTAACATAGTTGGCTTATGGAAGGGCTTAAATATCCAATTATCATATAAAAAAGAAAATATTTCCCTGTTCACATGAATGCGCTTTTCTAAGAGTAAAGGACAACAAGCACCAAAAGACCCTCCAGATGTGATAATCATAGACTCACATGGGAGTGAACTTGATCCAAAATGGATCTACAAACAATTACAGGTAACAGTTCTTGGACATGGGAAAAAACATCAAAGGAGCAACAGAGCACATTGAAAGAATAAAAACTCCTAAATATTTGGTAATCGGAGTATTTTGTAATGATCTCTCTGATGAAAACATTGAAAATGTCCTAACAAAATTTGGTAATATGATAGAAATGGCACCAAAGACCTGTGCCTTACACTTGCTGCCGTATTTAATAGACCAGGGGCTCGTTTCTCAAAAAGGCCTACGACCAGGCGTAAGCTTAGTCCGGACTAAGTCAGTGACTAAACCCCAAAATCGGACTAAGTAGCGTTTCACAAAAAGGCGCAGACTTAGTCGAGACTAAAGTTAAGCTTAAATCTATGCCTCCTCATGAGTAGGCTTAAGTTCTTAGTCTGTACATTCTTAATAGAAATTGAAACGGAACTACTAGGTTTAAAAGAAAAAGATGGTGATGTTGAAATTTGTACCGTTCCCGATCTAAATAAATCTGATCCCGACTGGAAATTATTAAATGAAAATATTTCAGAAATTTATAAAAATACTAGACTGCTTGCCTGTAATATGGATTAGAAGAAATTAATTAACTATTTATCATATATATTTTATATTATTGATAAACTAAAAATACTCGATTCTAATTAAGCTTTTGCAAACCTTTACTGAGAATGTGTGTGCTAATGGAAATGTTGTATATGCGTATTTTTACATGGACTGTGTAAATTATCATATCGATATCAATGTTATACTGTATGTCCAAAGTGTAATACATGTATTATAATACATGTATCAGTTTGAATGCCAAGAAATTTAATTCAGTTAGAATTGATTGTTATGAAATTATAAATTCAATACAACTAATAAATTTCCAAAAATCTCTTATCCATATTTTAATATTATATGATTTCATAATTGTTAAATTATCCACAGGTCCGTAGAACGCGGTGGGACCAGGGGGCCCCGGCCCTCCACTTTTTCTGAGTGTAGTACTTTGCTATATTAAATTTACCTTCAGATGCTGGTGCCAACCCCTCCCCCATCCCATTTTGTCGCTGTAAGGTCGATCACTGACAAATTCCATAATTCCATGACTTGGACAGTTAATTAGGTTTTTGACTTGGACAGTTAATGAAGTTTTTTTTTTTTTTTTTTTGGGGGGGGGGGGTCCTCAACTTTTGAAACTGTATTTAGGTTTAAATTCAATATTAATTTGATCCGCCACATGTCATTGTAGTCTCTAAACCAAATAAAATACGATCTGCGCATGCTTAGTACTTAGCGGAGAGGTCTTAGTCTTAGGCTTGGTCTTACGCCGCTTTCTGAAACGCGATTTAGGCCCGTCTAAATTTTGGCGTAACTTCCTTAGTCGGACTAACTTAGGCTGAAATCTACGACTTTTTGAGAAACGAGCCCCAGGAGACGCAGAGTACAACAGAAAAGCAGAAGTCAACAGAAATCTAAAAAAGATCGTGTGTGCAACCAAATACCCTCATGTTTACTTTATTGAAGAAAATAAAATTTCAAAACACAGGGGAAATTATACCAATGATGGCATCCACTTCTCCAATGCCTGAAGAAAAAACCTGGTATGCGCTATCAAACAACACATAAACCCCCATCTCGGCATGAAGTCCTATGATCAATACCAGATAAAATAACATCTAATTCTGCATTATGACACAAAGCCCTACAACCAATATCAGAGGCCTGTTGAACAAAAATACCTATGGCAACCCAGAGGAAATCACTATTCAAAAACCCAGCTAAGAAACTTAGTGGAACAACTTTTTTACCTCGTGTAAATTTTTGGCAATTTATTTCTTTACTTCGTTTGTGACATTCCTCATTCAAGATTAAATTTATTCCAGTAATATCTGCACATTTGAAAACTCATAATTAGATAACAAAATGTTTTGCATTAGATATGAATATGGAAAGATCCTCAGATAGTTGTCATGACACCTTGTGGAAGGGTGGGGCTACAACATGGAATGAAAAATAAACATAAAAGAAAAAAAATCTGCTGATGAAGAAAAACAGGTCCATATTGATTCAAGTGAACGTTGTGGCCCGAGGGCCTCTTGTTGGTTTTGTTCTATTTTTTTCTGAAAGTGCTAATCTCTGTTGTAAGTCTTTAAACGTTGATAATGGAATTGAATGCAATCTTTGTGTTTTCATCCATGTTGGGAAAATGAAGGGTTCACTAAACAAGAGAATGTTCGACGTAAACAATATGGGACCATCAACATTTTGTAAACATTTCAATTTTGCCGACCATTCTAGTCTTTTAATGAAGGCAATTTTGGGAAAAAATACTATATCCCCTTTATTAAAACTCCATTCCGTAGACAGCGTGGATAATACTGGATCAACTGTGCACTTTGTTCCCATTTGGTTTTTATTGACCACGTCAATAATTGTTGGGAATCATTTAAGCAAGCCCACAGCGTGCCAATGTGACTGCGATTGGACTCTATTTGAACTTGCACCAATCAAGGACATTGATTTTACAATGAACTAAATACACACAATGTTTCATTTGATTCGCTTTTACCTTCATAAGCAGGAAGGTCTACGTACATTATACATTTGTATAAAGCTTTACTCCGTTCCCTTGAAACTGTTAAATTGTATACTCAAAAAAAGTTAAAACAAGTTAATACTTGAATAACTCAACATCAGAATATAGACTAATGTCTGTGATAATGGGTGTTGGGCAACAAGCAGGTAACATACCAGAGAAAGGGTGTAAAATCTGTACAACTTGTGCGCCTAAACGCCATTTGCTTCCACGACATTCGCAGCTAAGCGAGGCCACTAGTTTGCCGATTGTTCATGGTATACTAGTTGTCTTCCCTGACTTCTACAAAAAATTGCGGCCTTTTCGATCTAACATTCTATTATGGTAAAATGTTTTCAATTCTAAGAAGTATCTGTAAGACAGTCCAGTATAACAATGTGAAAAGGCAGAGAAAGCGAAGTATCATCAGCTGCAATGTTCTATTAATATTAGTAATTGTATGAATGTTTGATTTCAATATTATTTCAAAAGTTAAATTAATTTTAAATTTGATTTAAATATATCTCAGTTTATTGTCTTGAGGCCAGGTCTCCTAACAATCTGCAAAGGCGGATCCAGCGCCGGCGCGCCGGGCGTGCCCCCCCCCCCCCCGTTTGAATTTTTTTTTTGACATTTTGTTTGTATCATCCTAAAATCAAGGGGGAAAACACCTCTTATTTGTTAGAATTCGTCAGTTTCCGGGGACTTCGCCCCCTGACCCCTACCAGGGCTTTACCCTGGACCCGCTGGGGGCTTCAATGCAGCCCCCAGACCCCCTGCCTTCTACTGCACCCCCCCTTATGAAATTCCTGGATCCGCCGCTGATCTGTCTGAATTCCAATGAGCACTAAGTGTGCTCCTATGTTAGCTGACCCGTGTCTGTCATATTTGTTTCAGATTTGGGAGAGGTTTCTTTTCTGACTATAGACTTTAATGCCCGTCAGCTACTAAACTATACATTTCATGTTTATGACAAAGATTATGACGTCAACTTTTCCATCGTTCATTTCCCTTATTTATGCAATACTACTTCAATATCACCTGCGTATAGTGTGTATGATTCCAAACTGATTCGATAGGCAAGAGCATATTCTTAGTACAATCAATATTTGAACCTATGCAGGCTACTGATGTTGCAACTTTGTTAGGTCAGCAAATTGCAAATTCTATGGTCGATATAATGACCGTGTTTGCAAATGCAAGCTATCGTTGATTCATATTTTGACCGACAGGTTTCATACCAATTGTTAGGTAATTGTTTTTGTACTAAGTTTTGACTACGAATTACCCGATCAATATAGAAGGCTCAAGCAGGTGTGAGAGGTCAACAGGGGAAGCTTATTTCTACTAGGCACCTGATCCCATCTCTGGTGTTTCCAGGGGTAGGATCAGGTGCCCTGTTCATGATTCGTATTGTTTACAAGATTTCTGAGATTGCTCAATGTTCATTATCTTCAACTATTTCATATATCTTTTTTATCTGATGTGGAAAAAGTTATAATGTTAACACATCGATAAAAATTGTCACAAGGTCAGATACGAGTATTTTGTAAACTTCGTTTTAAATTTGGTACATATCTCAATAACAGAAACTGTGATGTTACTCGATTGTATTTTTAAAGGGTTTCATAAAGGCTTTTTTAAAATTTTGTAGCAAGATAATTACATTGCATTGGATAAGACAATTATTCAATGATATGCAATGATAGGATTCCAATAAGGACCCTCTCTACACTAACCAAAATGTTTTTTGGACATTAAGAAAATTATATTGTGTAAAGGTGTAAATATTGAGTTTTTTTTAATATCATTTTCAACATGGGGTGCTGGCTTTTACCCCAGCAAAAATGTTCAAGGAAGCGAAGTTTTGATGAACGAAATCACTGCTGTTTTCTTAAGTTAAGAAAATACATAAAAATGATGTGTTCAGTTAATTTATCTCGGCCTTTCAAAATGTTAAGATTGCTTGAATTGATTAAAAATTGATTTATAAACTGTAGATTTCAATTTATTTTATTTTAGATGTAAGGGCAAATTACTTAAACTACATAGAAATACTACAGAATCAGAACTCCTTTGTGTGTCATGTATAGAGGGTTCTTAAGACTTCCTCGACCGTCACGATAGCTCAGTCGGTAGAGCGCTTGCTCCGTGATTGGGAGGTCGTGTGTTCGAATCACGGTCGCGACTGACCTAAGTCGATAAAAAAACAGGTAGCAACTGTTTCTTCGCCAAGCGCTCGGCACTTTGAAGTGAAAGTTGCGGGTCCTTCGGATAAGACCTTAAAAACCGAGGCCCCATGTCACGGTAGACGTTGGCACGATAAAGAACCCTCACTGCTCAATGGCCCTGAGTGCCGAGTAATTTGAAGCCCTTCACCGGTATATAGTGACGTCTCTATATGATTGAAAAATTCTTGAACGGGGCGTAAAACAACATACAATCAATCAATCAATCAAGACTCTCTCATTGATTTCTATTGCCAAAAGATAGAGGTTGGAAATTTTTTTCCGGGAATATATTTTTTCACGATAAAATTTTCAGACTCCTGTGCTGGTATACAATTATGTTTTTACGCTTAAAAACAGTTTCTTTTAATGTTGGAAGGACTACATGTATAACCTACAATTGAAGTTTGGAATTAAGACATAGGCACAAAAAACCAAGTTAAGCTAAAGACCACAAGGACAGAAAGAAAATGCAGATTTCATTCCATTTAAAAAATAATTTAAAACAAGATAAGATTATGCACGTGCACATGATTACAGAAGTTAATTATTCTACTAGAGACATCAGTTGCATCAGTTTAGGTACTAGTTGATCTGTCTTCTTAACAAAATCAAAGAAAAAATTGAGATTGCAGATAAATGTTTATTTCACAGCAATTAAGAAAAAATCGAAATAATTTTTAAAAAGCTATTCATTTAAAACTGTTCTTAAAACAAGATATGTTATGACAAGGAAAGTCCATGGACAGATCGGTCGGTTTCTCGGGCAAAAAAGGGTTTCATTCATTTATATCTTCCATAAATGGTTCGGTGTTGTCTTATTCGCTTTTCTCCAATGTCTATCCGAATGTGCCTGCAACCCCTTCAAAAGAGAATAGTCCTGATATTAATAAAAACAGCAATCATAACGATGAAATATGGAAATAACGAGCAGAATGAATAGTCCTGATATTAATAAACACAGCAATCATAACGATGAAATATGGAAATAACGAGCAGAATTCAAGTTCAAAGTCCATTAAAACAATACAAATCGGGAGCAGAGCAAACACGGACCTCCAGAAACATAAGAGGTGGGATCAGGTGCAATGGAGGAGTGAGTATCCCCTGCCGACCGGTCACACTCGCCGTGTGCTCCTTGTCATGACCGGGAAATAACGGAAAAATCCGTCGACAATTCAGTGTGTAAATAATGGCCACAATCAGTATGATAAACGTCAGTCAGCATATGGCTCAATGACAGATTGTATTTGCTGGCAAGGCCATTTTATCGACCATAGAACTTACGAAATGATGACTTTAAACGAAACTGTTTGTCATATAGCTTTTTTCTTTAACTCTTTACTTATATGCCGGGTTAGTATTGATATAGTTCTGAAGTTGAAATTCAAAACCTTATTGATTGTTTTACATTTGAGGTAAGATGGTCGTGGCTTTATAATTATACCATTTCTACCTCCTGGCAAAGAAAAGTTCGATGATTTTAAACTGATGAGTAATTAAATATTTCAAATAGATTTCAGTGATTTTTTACTGTTATTAATGAAGTAAAATTAGTAAGTTTGAAGATAATGCTAAATATGAATTGTTTACCTCTAAACCTCCTTAAAAAGAGACTAGATTCTTGAAAGAGATTAAAAGATTTGGGGGAGGGGGGGAATTGAACGTCTATGCTTGATTTTTGTCCATTTTGCAATATGTACTTGCTCAATTCCAGAAAACAAAGTAAAATGATGCAAATCGTATCTGGAATTACATACATGTACTCGTGATGCCAGATTTATATTATATGTACCTACTATCTAATAGGCCTCTTTCCCTTCTCCGCGCTTGTATCCAGACAGAAATGTGTCTAACAAACGTTTTGCTTTCTCCTCAATAGCTTCTTCACCACTCAGCTCTCTGGAAACTTCCTATATTGTACAAGAACACAATATTAACACTGTTCATTAATATATAATTATAAAAAGGGCACACGATGAACACTTTTCATTAATAATAATTAAACCAAAATTCTAGTATACAAAAGGGCACAACTTAACACTATTTATTAGCAATCATACAAACTCTTTACATTTTAAAATGGCACAATGTTAAAAATGTATACCCCAAACCCCCTTAATTGTTAAAGGACACATTGTTAACATTTTCATCAATATATCGATAGACTTCTTTTATTGTAAAAAGGCTCAATGTTAACACTGTTCAATTATATAAACGTACCAACCCCCTATATCGTAGACAGTATATAATGTGAACAATGTTCATTGGTTTAATGATATTTTAACAGACTTTATTGGGGGGGGGGGGGGTTATAAAATTTAGATCTATACCGATCTTTCTTTTTAAATCAGGTACCGATCAGTCGTGTTAGTAATTTCGATACCGATCGGTCTTGTTGAAAATTGAGGACCCATGCTATTACATTCGCCATTCCAATAAGACATGCGAAGACTCATCTGAAATTGTGCACCAATGGTGCATGGGCACAGCCAGAAGTTATTGCCAGGCGCTATGTTAACAATTTTCATTGGCATTGATATGAATATACCAACCCTCTATATTGTCAAAGGGCTCAATGTTAATACTGTACAATTGTACAAAAACTGAAGTTTATATATTACAATGAAATCGGACTTGCATAAATAAATAAATTAATAACTAAATTGATCAAAACCGATTTAAATCTAATATCAAACAATATATAGTAGCCATCAAATTTCTGATGAAAACATGATAAAAATATTAGCAACAAATGAAAAAAAAATCTAAATTTCATCCTAATAATATGAATAATTTAATGTTATTGTTTTAACTGAGATGTATGTAATTAAAAAAGATTTTATTTTCAATGATTTCACTTAAACTTTTGATCAAAGACAATGCATTTTTCGATTTTCAAAACCAAGATCACAATAATTTTGGAAAATAAAATATATCCAGGAAAAAATAAATAAATAAATAGATAAAATAATAATATGACACTACTTACTTTTTTCACATAGCAATGATCTGTAAATAAAACGAAAATTGCACGAACATGTTAAACATTTGATAAAATCCGGCGACTTTTTTTGGCTATACATGCAGAAAAATTAACTCCAATATGATTGACATTTGGTTCTTTACATGTGGTATTTGTTTCTTTCTCTCTCTCCATATATATATATATATATATATATATATATATATATATATATATATATATATATATATATATATATATATATATATATATATCACCTGCTAAACCGAGGACACAAGGTCCCTTGCCAGCAATTTTGTCCACAAATCCCTTCACCGCTTTAAGCTTTTCTTGCCCTAAAAAAAGAACATAATCACTAAAGACTTGCGAAATATTGATAAAAATACGTTTCCACAAATTTTTCTCAAAGGTATCATTGTAGGATCCAGAACTCTCGAAAAGGGGAGGTCCAACCGGTTGGGGGTCTGGGTTGGGACCACAGAGGCAAAGTCTCTTGGAGCTTCCAGGTTTAAGGAGTTCTATTGATCAGTTTTGTATTATAGCTACACTTCGTGTTTAATAAATGCAATATCAAACAAAATATAATTATTAAAGCTATATATGGCGTATCTGAGCTAAAAATTTAAAAAAAAAAAATAATACGAGATTGAGTGTAGATAAACAGGATATATGTTATTTACGTTCAAATTAAAATTTTCACCGATTTTAAACTTGAATAAGCTCATGTTTCCATAGTTGAATTGATTTTAAACTGTGTCTGTTAATTAAATGCGCAGTCGGTAAATAAATCGGTTATTGATTTAAATTCCTAATATTTTTGAAATGTGATTGATTTAAATTGTGTAATTTACAGCAAAGTCCTACCTTTATACAAAGTAGTAAACAAATAGAAAGATCTTTTTAATTTAAGTTAGAATTTGTTGTGAAGAACAAGTCTCAATAAGGCTTATTTGTGGTCCCCTGTTACTCGTCAAATTTCGAACATTTATTAATTTTTAAAAAAAAAAATAAATTTTATTATTAACTAATGTCTTTATTATTTGAATCATCATCTAAAAATGTCAAACAATAGATACAGGCAGCATACGAAGCTGCGCGTTTAAGGTAGGGTCCGTAGATTTTCATGAATATCAAAAGAAATCAGTGGCAGGTACACACTTCAAAGCTTTCGTAAACACCGAGCACAGGTTTGTTCAGAGTCGAGTTTGAAATATAATGTGTCTATTATATGTGTAGAGGTTGAGTGAAAATATCTTTGTTGAACAACCTTGTGCTCTATGTTTTCTAATTAAAAGTATTGTGATTTTGAATCTCTTTGCTGACTTCATTTACTTAAGAAATAAACAACAATGTTAAAAAGTTCTCTGGGAAATGAACTTGGTTGGTCATGTGATCAAATCCTTTGAAGCCCGAAGGGCTTCTCAGAAGATTTGATCACGTACCAACCAAGTTCATTTCCCAGTGAACTTTTTAACATTGTTGTTTATTACTTTTATTTACATTTGAGACGAATATTCTAAATAGAACTGCATTTATTACACGAACGGCCCGCCGTATTGCTATGTTGTGACGCGCAATGACCTAGAAGCTGTTTGGTCTTGAGAGTTCGCCTCGCTCCAACATTTGAATACTTGCATTGATGTTCACCAGTCCAGTTCAGGAAATATCTGTTCATAATGAGAAAAAAACAATGATCGCTACTGGGAATAATCTTACTATTATTGTATGAGTTCTTTATATATGAAGTCAAAAGCGGTGCTATCGTCTTCAGTTTACATACCTTCAAAGGAATTTCGGGTTAAAAAGGTAAACGTGATTTTAGGCTAATTAGAAACATTCTTCACACCAAAGAAAGATCTAATGATCATTTGTTGAACAAAAAAATATATATGTTTCAATAATTTTATCTTTTTCATCGCTTTAACGCCTTAGAAGTTCCGAAACCAGTGTCACTGTGACAGAAATATGTAGACAAGATGTCTCGCTGTGTGATTCGGTCACGCTATGACCTCTGACCCCCTAATAAGTTCATACAGAATTGAACATATTTTCTCTTCAATAGGTTCATCTAAGAAAAATATTTGCAAATGTAAATAAATGCGATTAATCTCTTTATGACCTATTTAGAATCATAACAAGCCACGTGGATTTGTGTCGTTACGGGTAAATGCCCCCAGTAAACGTGCTAGTTCTCAGTTGAAACGTACTCAGTTTTATGTCGATCAGCATGGACTTGTTTGGTTCATCTTGTTATAAATTTTATTGCCAAAGTTTTGTAAATGGAAAATTGCATTTGTAGTTGATTGTGAATCTTCAACATATAATTCGTCTTTGAAAGAAAAATATCATACCAGGATCTTCTTTTTATAGTATCTAATCTAAATGTCTCCGCCCATTTCCATGTAATAGAGAAACCATAGTCTGATCGGATGAAAATGTTCCGGCATTTTTTAGTGCGATAGGTGTTAAGAATAGGCATATATTTTTTGATATGTTTAATTATTCATTATAAATACACAATGTTTTAAGTAGAAATACTTCGTTGTACACAATGAAAACAAACAAAATACCGTATGCTAATATTTAACCGGTAAACCAAGGGTGTAAAAAGGAACCACGCTACTATACTTATGAAGGATACTCCTTTGTTGTCGGATGGCATAAAATTCACAACAAGCGAGTTTATTGGTCAATAGAGACGTTTAGAAAGGATAAGGAGATGGATAAAATATACAGATTGGTTAAAGAATATGACTAGAAAAAGGGAATGAAAGGTCACTGACTGACAAATGCTGTAAAGTGGCGAAATACATCCCCAAAGTGAAAATCTTGCACAATATTTGCATTACGGGATCTGTAGCGTTATGGTCAAAGACTACAAATATACAACCATAACGCTACAGTTCTGCAGCTACAATCTTTCAACATGTTAAAGTTGATTTTTTTTTTTACTCCAGATCGTAGGGTTAAGTCTGTAATAATTCCTTTCGCGAATAAATAATTAGAAAACGTCTGCTTCAATAACTGCACAGCCATTTCCTTTATAAATGTGAAAGTTATGATTGAACGGAATTTTCCCGCAATGCATTATATACCTTCTGATTTTTTTAAAAAGTTAGACCGCTAGTAAGATCTTTTGATCAAAACATATAAAATTTTGCAGATACTGAGTGCTAAAACGCAAATATTCAGCGAGTATAGAACAAATTCCGGGAAAAATTCGTACCGTCATTCCTATTTTACAATTAGTGTAAATGTTCAGAGGCGAGTGAAAAAATAAGGTTAATTTTGGAATTAATTTCAGCATATCTCGGGAAGTATACGAAATTTCGGAATGAACTTTGGTAGTATTGTAGGTTGTTTATATGTGAATAGATATGAATAGAAAGTAACATTTTAGATCATTTGATTTAAAAGTATTTTATTGGCGAAAGTGGGTATCCTTTGAAATGAGTTCCATACCTTTATTTTTTACACCCAAAATTTTAAAGCGATTTAAAGGCCTGTGATTTATCATGGCCATAGGAACCGGCGGGGGGGGGGGAGGGGGGGGGACGGGGGGTGGTGGTGGGCGTGCCCCCCCCCCCCAATAATTTTGCCGACATACAGAGTATTATAGAAAAAAGCTTGTGCCCCCTTAATAAAAATGCCTGATGACCTTTTTTTCTTTCTTTTTTCTTTTTTTGCTTGTCAAGGAATTTTTGGTAGTTGTCAGTGCCCCCTCAACTGAAAATGTATGGCTGTGCCCCCCAAACTGAAATTGCTTCCTACGGGCCTGTTTATACATAATTACTTATCAGTTTCCGCTTACGCCGTTTGATTGCAACTTTTGTGTCCGGAAAAATGTCAATGTGACAGTAAACCCGGTTTTCTTTTGTGTGAACATTACTTCATGGTATTTCTCACATAAATTTTAAAAAACTTTTCATTCTGAAAACCTAACGAGGTGACATTCCGACAATATAAATGTACCCGATGAACATATTTTGCCTGAAAATTACTAAGTTCAACAAGTTAATGCGTATTTTCCGCATAAATGATCAACAAAAGGTCAATGGGCCACAAAGCTCACCTGAGTCACAATGGTCCTGCTGTTCTTCACCAGCAGATTTTTTTATGCCCCCGTAATCGAAGATTCGCAGGCATATAGTTTTTGCCCTGTCCGTCCATCTGCCTAGCTGTCTGTTTGTCCGAAAAAACTTTAACCTTGCCCGTAACTTTTGATTATTTGGAGCTATAGCTTTCAAATTTCACATGTGTATTCCATGTAACAAGACCTATCATTAGGTACCAACATACTTGACCTTTTGACCTTGGAATTTGGCCCACTTTTGCAAATTTTTACCAAACTTTAATATGGCCATAACTTTTAAACATGCAGTTGGTACTAGGGCTTTCATACTTCACATGTGTATTCCTTGTGACAAGACCTTTCATTGGGTTAAAATGTTTTTCACTTTTTTACCCTCACCTTCATGTCTGACCTACTTTTGAAAAACTTTAACCTTGGCTATAACTTTTGAACGGTTATTACTAGGGCTTTCATATTTCTCAGGTGTATTCCTTGCATTGTGACAAGACCTTTCTTTGGGTACCAATAATTTTGACCCTTTGACCTTGGAATTTGACCTACTTTGGAAAATTTTTACCAAACTTTAATCTTGGCAATAACTTCTGAACAGTTGGTGCTAGGGCTTTTATATTTCACATGTGTAAATCTTGTGACAAGACCTTCCCTTTGCACCATTGATTTTGACCATTTGACCTTGACTTTCAAGCTTGACCTACTTTTGAAAAACTGAAACCTTTGCCATAAATTTTCAATGTGTTTGCTAGGGCAACAGTGCTTCACAAACACACCTTATTTTTCATATATTCCTATATATGTAAAATTTGTTCACCGTTGTGACACCCCCCCCCTTCCTCTAGGTTCACTATTTGAATAAACTTTGAATCTATACTATCTGAAGATGCTTCCATATTCACATATCTAATCATAGCTTCGCTGTTTTTGAAAGGAAGATTTTTACAGATGTTACCCCGACCCTACCCCTGTGTGTCATGATTTGAACACACTTGAACCTATACTACCTGAAAATACTTCCATATCGATATGACTAATCATGACTTTGCTGTTATTGAGAAGATTTTTCCCCGTATATCCCTGAGTTAAACTCTGATAACCCATTGTGGCCCCATCCTAACCCCAACGGGTTATGATTTGAACAATCTTGAGTCTACTCTACCTGAGGATGCTTCCGTATCATCAATGTGACTAATCATGGCTTTGCTGTTCTTGAGAAGAAAATTTTTAAGATTTTTTCCCTATGTATTCCAGTGTGAAACTCTGATCCCCCATTGTGGTCCCACCATAGCCCAAGGGGTCAAAGTCTGAACAAACTTGAATCTACTCCTGAGAATGCTTCCATATCAATGTGACTAATCATAGCTTTGCTGTCCTTGAGAAGAAGATCTTTAAACTATATTCTAATGTAAAATTTTGATCCCCCATTGTGGCCCCATCCGACACCCGGAGTTCATGATTTGAAGAAGCTTGAATCTTCACTACCTGAGGATGCTTTCATATCAATGTGACATAATTATGGCTTTGCTTTTCTACTGAAGATTTTTAAACTATTTATTCCTATGTAAAACGTTGATCCCCCACTGTGGCCCAACCCTTAACCCGAAGGTCCTGTTTTGAACCAACTTGAATTAACATCATGTTATGAAGGTTTCACATAAATTAAACTTTTTAGCCAAGTGATTCATGAAAAGAAGATTTTAAAGATGCCACCAATTTTTCTCTAATTCTTAATTATCTCCCCTTGAAAGAAGGCATGACCCTTCATTTCAACAAACCTGAATCATCTTTAACTTAGCATGCTTTGTGGCAAGTTTGGTTGAAATTGGCCCATGGGTTCTGGAGAAGAAGTCGAAAATGTGAAAAGTTTATAGACGGACAGACAACTAGACAGACGGACGACGGACAAAATGTGATCAGAAAAGGTCACTTGAGCTTTAAGCTCAGGTGCACTAAAATAATATTTTAAGTACAGTGTACCATGAACATTTTCTGATATACGTAGAATTGATTTTAAAAAAAATTCTTATCCTGAAAACGGTTGAAGGAGTTATCCAGACTAATGATGTACCCTATAAACAATACTGTGCATTAAAAATAATTAAATTCAGCAACTAGTATTTTCCGCATAAATGATCAAAAATTAATTTTCAAGCAACTCTGATATATGTACAATTGATCTACAAAATAAAAACTCCCTAAGCTATCTTTAAAAATGTAGGAAGATTTATCCGGACAAATGATGTACCCTTCTGGCAGCCGCCCACCGCCATTTTCACAATTTCAGTATTAATCGAATTTTTTCGATGGAAAACCGGTTAAAAACAAATTGCATGACATGAGAGAGCTAAATTTACATTTTCTATTCTGCTGAAGAATAGAAAATACTCATAAGCAAAACCAAAAAAAAAAAAAAAAAAAAGAAGAAGAAAAGATTGAAAACAGCAGAGTGAAAGGGGGGGGGGGGTGTCATCCGATTTAAATCGAAAGATGTTAAATAGCGGAAATAATTCCATGTATAATGTAACCTTTACGTATATAAACATACTTGATTCCTTGTCATCGTACAGAACTGCAACAGCTTCTCTGATATTCTCTCTAATTCCCCAAAGCATATAACCAAACGACCTTTTACATTCTTCCATAGTCGTAGGTAAATTGGATTTGTCTGATAAAATATGAACATAAGAAAACCAGTCATTATTTTTATGAACAAAGGTAGAATTAATCAAAGTTGAATTTAGAGAGACATTTTGAAACCAGTTACTGATTTTATATATTTAACTTTAAAACTTTTATAAAACTATCTATTTTAACATTTCAACTTGCCACTTATGATAATGGATCAAATTGCAAGAGTAAGACGTATAAAAATTAAGACTAGGAAATACGACATACCATCACATTCTTTTGCTTGCGGTTTGCTCTCTGGATCTGAAAATAAAGAGTTTTCTTAGAGACAACGAAAAGAAGTGGCGCAGAAATTCTTGATTTAGCATTAAAAAGGTTGGTATTATATAAAAACTAGCTTGGAAACAAAACACAAACACAAATAACCTTTAAGGTTTCTTTTTTTTCAACTCATACCTGCATCCTTTTCAGCAGAATCAGCAAGACTCATTAACCCATGAATAGACATGAAGACTACATGTCCGTAGGCCTTCTGTAGTTCTTCTTTAAGTTCTTGTAAGAATAAGAAGAATTTTATGAAAAAAAAATACATATATGTTCACACATGAATGACACTGGTGAATGATTACATTACGTCAATTGATTTTTCGTTTTTTTTAATCTCCAAGAACAAAATACAACTGAGAAACAGTCCGGTGTCTGAATAAGGATACAAGAGTATCAAAAATTAACGAAGAGTGATAATTATATATTAGTCAAAACTGTTATCTCTTCAGGAAAAAAATGCTTTAAAGAGGGAGTGGGGGGTTCACTTCAAAACTATAAAATACGTACCCCATCTCTTTGTATTAATGTTTAAATGTACCAATTAAATATATTGAATAAATTTTTGAAAACAGCAACCTCAAGATATGTCCTGAAGTTTGCTTGCTAATTTTTGCTTCTTTATATTTTGATTTCTTTTCACTATTGTTTTTTTTTTCAATTGTCATGAGCCGTCAGCTAATTAAAATAGCAATTACATGTATGACCAAATGTTTGCACTTCACTAAGCCAAAATTGTACATTTACTAACTGGTTTCTAGAATAACGACCCGATAACTAAATTAAAAACATTGGAAATGTATGATTTTTAGCAAAGTTTTATATAACAAACATTTTTAATGGTATAACATATATGTTAAATTAGATGTTGGACCGCTTTAACTTTTTAGGTCAAATACATTTGTTTATTTTAAAATCCACAGCTTAGACGGGAACATCTCACACAAGTCATGAAGCTGTACATGTAAGTCTAATTTTCATCCATGGCTTTTGACTTCAATTAATGGAATTGAGTTTTAATCTTTGCCTCTTACGCCGTCTGTGACGTAATAGTAGCATTACATTTATCACTGTTTGATGACGTTATCCTTTTCCCGTCAGCGCACTCTCGTTTACGTGCAGAAAAGACATGATTTAGAATATAAAGTTTACGACGTGTTTGTAGCGAATTTCATTGTAGATAAATGAAGTTTACGTCAAGATTTTGTCATATGCATTGCAAACGTATAGGTAAGTGCAATACTTTATTCGAAACAATGTTTAACAAAACATTTACTGCGTAATTACTGTTTCTCAGTCAAAATGCGATTTTGCAAACCCTTGTCTTTACCCTGACGCCCTCGGGCAAACAGTGGATTCTCGAGCCTGACAAAACGAATGTTATCCTTGAGTCAACTCAATAACTATTTAGTACTTACTGGGATTAAGAAGGCTAGAAACGAGATAGTCAAGACCTCCAAGATCTTTCAGCAGAAGCAATCTGTATTTCTGGAAATCATCCTCGCTGAGTGCCGCTACGTCTAAGAATGGAAACGTGTATTTTATAATGAAATTTTATAACTTTGACTAGTTATCAACTTAACTTTGTAATATTGACTTTAACAAAGTCAATATTACAATGTTGATATCTATGAAAGCCTATTAGGATTAATTTATGGAGAACAAATTTTTAAAAGGCGTTATAACGCCTTTTCAAAAGGCGTTATTATATAATTATGTCTTTTCCATTAACGCCTTTTCAAAAAGGCGTTATTACGCCTTCTCTTTTCAATACATGACTAACTTAACCCACCCTGTTGGCTGATGTCTTAATTACCCTCGGGAAAAAGATTTTCAAATACGTAATATATTTTCAATGTTAAACCAACTTAGTCCTTCTTTGATGCCAGACACCTCTACCAAGGGTCATGGATTTCACAAATTTGGTTGAAAGCTAATTGCTCATTATACCCATGCAAGTAGTTTGCCTGCTTTTTTCCAAGAGGAGAGAGAAAAAAAAATTCAAATTTTAGTACATGGCCAGAGTAGCCCCAAGCTGCATCTGAATCCTGGATTTTCACAAGTAGAGTGTTGACTTCTCTTAAAACGCATGCAAACAATTGTGCAGGAGTAAAGAAAATACTTTTTACATATTGCATTAATAAAGATGGCTTTGATTCAATCTTTCATATAATTAATAACAAAATAACGCCTTTCGAATTTATGGCTGTAACACCTTTTCAAAAAGGCCGGTAGTACGAGTGCGAGTGGGGGACCTCCTATTATAGCGTATGCGTAATATAAAAGCGTTATATCCTCTTTTCAAAAGGCGTTATGACGCCTTTATTAGCGGTTTAACGCCTACGTTACACTTAATGGAGTATAAACTATTTTTTTATTTGTCCAATCAATTTTTTTTATTCGAATATAATATTTTCGAGGATTGATTATAAATGGCTCATTCTACAACTGACAAAAAACTGCCCTGAAGCACCAAATTGAAATGATAAAATTTCGCTTTTCAAATTTGAGCAGAAAGAAGCTTAATATTGGTAAAAGGATAATATTGAAATTCCAGATCAAGAGGTTTTAACTAAATTTTTTTTTTCATTTTCAACCGATTTATCTACATTGTTGCAATTCTGTAAAATTTGCACAACTATATGCCAATGCAGATAATAAACATTTCACAAATCCTCAATGCAGGAATTTCATGACTGCATAGTGTGAATGCAGGGTTCATGTATGGTGAATTATAATAATGTCTGTCAAAGCAGACATTGGCCGACTTCAAGGTCAGTCAACGCAGGCATTGGCGAACTAGAAAGTCAGTCAATGCAGGCATTGGCCGACTACACAGTCTATCAATGCAGGCATTGGCTGACTACACAGTCAGTCAGTCAATGCAGGCATTGGCCGATTACACAGTCAGCGAATGTCTTCCTTGGCCCTTGAGAGAGTAAGGCAATGCCTGCATTGGCCATTGAGTGATAGAGTCTCAATGCCTGCATTGGCCCTTTAGATAGTCGTGCAATGCCTGCATTGGCCAACGATGAACAAATTCCCTTGCGAGATTGTGATGAAACTCTTGCATTGGCTTAACTATAAAAAGATTTCATATTTTTTCAAACATTGGTGATTCTGAGCGGGAATTTACAAATAATATTTATTCTCGTAGTAGTTGTCACTGCATTGCAAGATTATTCATTTCCTAGTGTCCAAATAGATTTTGTATTACTTAAACGCCAAATTGCATTAGTCAATTACATTTAGAGCAATTTCAATTGCATATGTGATTAAGATAAAATACAATTCAGATTGAGAAAAAAAATGCAAGAAATTGAATGAACACTTTGTCAATGTTTCTGTAAAGGCTATTAACACGTGATTTTGGAAATGAGTAGTTTAAACAATTAAATGCGTTTCAGGCTATACTTTTGTGATCATAAACAACTTCCTTCATGAATTCGTTAAATTACATTCACTTTGGGTGTAGAAACCAAAATTTCTATCCACATTGCCCAAAACATTGATCTTAAATTAAAAAAAATTAAAAATTAGTTGAAAGTCCATACTTAGTCTACGCGTTATTACGCCTTAAAAGGCGTAATAACGCCTTTTTGAAAGGCGTAATAAGCCTTTACAAAAGGCGTTATAATGCAAAGTGAAAAGGCGTTACAACATATTTTTGCGTTATTATGCCTTAACTGGCGTTATAACGCTTGTTCACTTCGCGTTATTACGCCTTTTGAAAATGTTTTCATTCATTTCATCTTATGCAATTGTTCTAAGTAGTCTGTAAGATATTTTTCTCAGACAATAAAACAGTCATTGCTCTATAATTTAAGTTCTTTTGAAAAAGAATATTTAAATGTGGATATTGTCACCTTCGTTGTCAGCGCCATATGCGTCATCCCAGTGCCCTCTCTGTAAAAATGAATATTTTTAAATTATTGAAAAAAAAAAATAATGTTTTTTTTAGAAAGAAAATTCAACAAAACTTGAATTACTAAATAAAAATATATGTCTGAAATGACAATGGAAAATCACATTTCAACAAATGGCTAGCTCTTTTTTTCAAATGTAGGTACCATTTGAAATGATTTGTTTATACTTTTAAGTCACAAAGAGTACTTATTGCGCCCCGTTATCGTAAACTTTTCACATTTTCATCTTCTTCAACAGAAGTTGCCACAAAGCATCCTTGGGCGAAGGGGACTTAAGTTTGTTCACTGGAAGTGCCAAACCCTCTTTCAAGGGGAAATAATGAAGAATTCGTGAAATTTTGATGGCATCTTTAAAAATCTTCTCAAGAACCAAGAAAAGATGAAATTTGTGTGAAAGCTTCATTACATTTTTAGATTCAAGTTTGTTCATACATGTATCATCAACCCAGGAGGTAGGGCGGGGCCACAAGAAGGCTTCAAAGGAATATATAGGAAAATATCTTTAAAAATCTTCTTCTCGAAAACAGCAAAGCCATGATTAGTCATATTATTATAGAAGCATCCTCAGGTAGTGTAGATTTAAGTGTGTTCCCATCATAACCCGTGGGGATAGGGCAGAGACACAACAGGGGGTTAAAATTTACCATAGGAATATATGGGGAATACCTTTAAAAATCTTCTTCTCAAGAACAACTTAGCCATAATTAGTCATATTAATATACAGAAGGGGGACAAAAGAGTTGAGAAAAAAGTCGTCGCTAGAACATATTATAGATCCGCGCGTATTAAAAGTTTCAAGTTTTGGAAATTCCCAATTGAAATATGAAAAGGTCAGTATGAGTTACGTACAGCATGACGTATATTTCATCGTCTGCTTGTAGTGTTGACATTCTACCTCGGTAACAAAATGGAGACGACATGTGAAGACATTTCATAGCTCTTAAAACAAATTGTAGAATTTTATTCAAATGGAAAAAAAATGTAAGCGATTTCAAGAGCTGTCAATAGATCTCTGGCTTCAGTGTATCGAATTGTCCGTAAATTTCAAAGTACTGGATCGGTGGAAAAATTGCCAAGATCGGGCAGGCCTCGTTCCATTGACGATCGCCATCGTGGTAGCTCAGTCGGTAGAGAGCTCGCTCCTTGATCGGAAGGTCGTGTGTTCGAATTTCTACCGCGACTGACCTAAGTCGATAAAAAATAGGTAGCAACTGTTCCTTCGCCCCGCGCTTGGCACTTTGAAGTGAAAGTTGTGGGTCCTTCGGATGAGATCTTAAAAACCGAAACCCCGTGTCACGGTAGGCGTTGGCACGATAAAGAACCCTCACTGCTCTATGGCCCAGAGTGTCAAGTAAAGGTCTAAATTCTAAACCTTCACCGGTATATGGTGACGTCTTTATACGAGTCAAAAATTCTCAAACGGGACATAAAACAACATACAATCAATCAACCAATCTATTGACGATCGGGAATATGGGAGGCTCTAGAGAATTGTAAACAGGAAGGCACCCCTAGGAGAAATAATTGCACTATTGAATGAAAACAGAACAACATCAGTGACTCAGAAAACTATCAAACGTAGACTTGAAGAAAATGGCTTTTTATAGAAGTGTGTCTAATAAAAAAAGTTAAAATTAAAAATATGAATCGAAAGAAACGCTTGTCGTGATGTAGGGAGAAGAGGTGGTGGAATATGCAAAATCAGTGCACATGGTCAAAAGTAATATTTAGCGACGAATCTCAGATATGTGTTGGTGAACACAACCGTGTTTATGTTTGGAAAAAAAAAGCACAAGAGGGTTGGAGACCTGGCTTAATACAGGCCCGTAGGAAGCAATTTCAGATTGGGGGGGGGGGGGGCACAGCCATACATTTTCAGTTGAGGGGGCACTATCAACTACCAAAAATTCTTTGACAAGCAAAAAAAAAAAAACAAAAAAAAAAACAAAAAAAAAAAAAAAACAAAAACAAAAAAACAAAAAAAGGTCATCAGACGTTTTTATTGAGGGGGCACAAGTATATATTAGCTACGTTTCTATAGTAAACTATATATCGGCAAAATTATTTTCTATGGTAAACTATATATCGGCAAAATTATTGGGGGGGGGGCACGGCCTCCCCCCCGTGCCCACCCCGGTTCCTACGGCCATGTAATACTACGACAAAATGGCCCCAAATTAGCATTATGGTGGGGGGGGTTGCTTGTGTTTCGGCGGCATCGGAACGTTGTGTCGAGTTGAAGGGAACATTAATTCAGAAAAATATATAAATAATTATTATTTAGCTACAAAACTTTGGCCAGTTATTGTGCGACATTTTCCAGACGGAAGTTACCATTTTTCAGGACGATAACGTTCCAGTACATCGTAGGAATCGAATAAAAACATGAGCTGGCTTGCACAGTCTCATCGAAAATGTTTGACTTTATATTAAAAGAAAACTTCAGTTCAGATGCACAATATAAATTCCGCAGACGAACTTTTTCAGCATACGCTCAGGATATGGCAGGACATTAACGTACATTATGTCAAAAGCCTTTATCATTCTATTCCAAGGAGAATACAGCAGGTCATTAGATTGAAGGGTCACGTTACTAAATATTGAGGTAAGTTTTTTTGTGCTTTCATCATAGCAAGTTCCAAGTTTCAAGTTTTTATTTAAGACAAAGACCCCAACTGGGGTATATGAATGCAAATGATACAACAAAATAACATACAAGCATGAAATGAGTGACACTAATGTTAATTACTATATACATATACATGTATAGTTCAAAAAATCAAAGTATAGAAGGCATCTGCTAGTATTAAATAAATCATTACAACATATTTTAAACAGTTGTTTTGTTATTATTAATTTATTACTGACAATAAAATTTTGCAAAATTTGGCAAGTCCAAAATGACTTTAGCGTCCTTACAATTTAACAGGTCATGAAATTTAATAACATTAGGGTTAGCATATAAAATATATGGAACAAGTTTTTTTCGTTCTCTTTTGAAAAAAGCACATTCTAAAAGATATTGGAATTCATCTCCTAAATTGTTAGAGGAATAAAGATCACAAATTCGATCATCTCTGTCAACACCCCAAAAGCAACCTTTCTCAATTGGAAATCTGTGATTCATACATCTAAATTTACATAAAGCTTTTCTCAAATCTTTTGGAAGATAAATCAAATATTTTTCAAAACTATGTTCTAATTTAAATAACCTATAATTAAGGGTTTTTGGCATATCAAAAATACTGGCAAACCAATTCTGCTTAAATTGATCAATTAATCTTGTTTTTACCAATTTTGACAGCAACGTTTTCTTTGGAGAATACTGTTGTAACCATAACTCGGACATTCCACAGTCATTTAGTGTTTTTTCAACATAGTTAATCCACTTAGACTGCATTAATTCATGTTCTCTAAGCTTTAATAACAATTTATATAAGAGAAAAAATATTTTGTCTTGTTTACCACAAACAAGTCTATGCCAAAACCCAATAACTCTGGACTTAATAAATATTACTACTGGATATCTACCCAGTTCGCCATATAAAACATGATTAGGGGTAGATTTTTCAGATTTAAAATTATTTTGTAAAATTGTAAAAATAAACTTTCTATGACATTGTTATTGTCAATTCCCCATACTTCACAGCCATAAAGTAATATGAGTGTAATCATACTGTCAAATAATTTCAGCTGAATGTCTACAAGCAAATCTAAACATCTTACTTTCTTGAGTAAACTGAACATAGCTTTCCTACCTTGCTCAAGTAGCTTTGTTTTATTACTAACAAAAGATCCATTACTAGAAAAAGTTACACCTAAGTAAACAAATTCATCAACAACTGATAAGTTTTTGTTATCATATGTAAAGACCATTTGTGAATTGTCATTTCTAGGTTTATTAAAAATAACAACCTTTGTTTTAGATGCATTAACTTGCAATTTCCAAGTTTTACAATATAAGAACATTGCATTTAAAGCAGCTTGTAATTGAGGTGCTGACTCTGTCAAAATTACAGTGTCATCAGCATAAAGTAACAAGTAAAGTTTCAGGAATATGTCTACCTCTTCTGTACTTAGCAAAAAATGTACAGCTTCTGTAACATTTGTTAAACCATCATATGCCCTAGAAATAAAATCGACAAGGTCATTCAAAAATATTGAAAACAGAACAGGTGATAAGTTTTCAGCTTGACGTACACCGACATTACTGTAAAAATACTCTGACACATTGCTACCCTGACGGATGCACGACTTTGCATTATTATACATACTATAAACAACTTTAAGAAAATTTCCATCAATACTATGACGTACCAGTTTATGCCAAAGAGCCACCCTGTTAACAGAGTCGAAAGCTTTTTTATAATCAATGAATGCACAATATAGTCGCTTTTTACGCTGTAAATAAAAATCAGTTAAACACTTCAAACTGAAAATATGATCAACTGTACTATAACTTTTCCGAAACCCAGCTTGCTCCTCACACAGGAGACTCATGCTCTCCAGATATTTATTTAGTCTATTATTCAATATTGCAGTAAACAACTTACCAAAACAACTTAATACAGTTATTCCGCGATAATTATCAGGATCACTAAAATCACCTTTGTTCTTGTATATAGTACAAATAATTCCTTCAGAACAAGATGAGGGTATTATTCCAGTTTTAAAAACAAGATTAAAGATTTTTGTAAAAGAACTGATCATTTTTGTTTGAGAATTTTTAAGGAATTCATTCAGTATAAGGTCATTACCACAAGCTTTATTGTTCTTCAGTAACTTAATCATCTTTTGTACTTCTTCTAATAGCAAGTCAGTTGTCAAGACGGTTTTTTGCACGAGTTGTCCCTCTTGTTGGAAACCTGACGCCATTTTTTCTCAGTTTGACACTTTTGCTCTCCTACTGTAGATGTATCCTCAGATAGTGAAGATTCAAGTTTGTTCAAATCATGACCCCCGTGGATTATTACAGAAGCATCCACAGGTAGTGTAGATTCAAATCCAGGGTGGTTAGGAAATCTTGCCACAATGAGCTATCAGTGTTTTACATAGCAATATGTAGGAACAAAATCTTTAACTAGATTCTTCTGCTCAAGGACAGAAAAGCCATGTATTGATATGGAAGCATCCTGAGGTAGAGTAAATTCAAGCCCCCCTCCCCCGTAATCTTTTCAATACTGAACTGATCTCTGCTTTTTCCTATCCAATGTGCTCAGGTGAGCAATGTGGCCCATGGACCTCTTGTTTATGTAGCAATATACATTGTATCATTATCACCAGCATTTGGAGTTTATGTCTCCAAGTGGATTCGATACGCAAGAGCATGTTCTACGCTTAAACAATTTCTTTAACGAGGCAAGTTATTGGCAAATAAGTTCATGATACAAGGATATTAACAGTTCCGTTTAAAATCAATATTTCGAAAATTCTAAGGTCGATACAAAATGTTAAGCTATTTTTTCACACTGAATTGTCTATGGATTTTTCCGTTTGCCCGATCATGACTAGGAGCACCTTGCGGGTGACCGGTCTACAGGGGATGCTTACTCCTCCATTGCAGCTGATCCCACCTTTGATGTTTTAAGAGGTCCGTGTTTGCTCTGCTCCTAATCTGTATTATTTCATTGGACTTTTGAGCTTGATTGGCGTTCGCTATCTTCATATTTCATTTCAAACTTAATTTAGTTATACAGTAACATACTGATTTGGATGACGTTTCAAGTAGCATTTTATAAACGATTTCTTTGCATGATCAGACTGTTTACAGCTGGTTTTTGAAATTATAAATCCGAGAACAATAATTGAAATGCTTTTATTCCAGTCTTTTATTATTAGATCTTCCGTCCACAATGGAAGATCTAAAGTTATTGTGTTGTTTCTTTTTATCATTAGTATTCCTACAAAAATTTTTGAGCTCGATTACTAAAAGATGATTGGATAAATTTTCACATTTTTTAAACAAGATAATAGGTTGATAGGTGAAGTTAATATGAATTCCGTTTTTTAAATACTCTTCCGGTCTAAAGTCATGACCGAATTTCAATTTTTAAAAAAATGAACAATTTTCCTCAAAAAACGTTTTTTAATTAGATGAACAAGCGAAATTTTAGAAATACTATATTTTTAGCATTTGTCAGTGAACGACGTCGATTTCGTTCCTTGTCAACCCTTCCAGTCTGATTGGGAAGAAAATGTGTGGTTCGGTCAACTTTCCAGACTTTTTTGCTTTTTGATATTTATCAAAATGTCTCTTTGCATAATAGAGATATACCTGCAAGTGCCAAATATGTAATTTGTTTTGAAATCAGATGACACCTTTTGTAGATTTCAACTTATTTCATTTTGAGATAAGAAATCAAAGTACCGTAAAGTATTTGAAAGGTCATTTAATTTCTAGATACTCCCTGTTTTTCACCACAGAAAGGTGGAGAATTTTTTTTTTTTAAAGAGGAGAATTCAATGAAAGAAAAATCAGTTCATCTCCTTCATGAGTAACTCTCTTGTTTCCATGGGTCGAACCGTTCATGGTAGCTCAGTCGGCAGAGCGCTCGCTCCGTGACTGGGAGGTCGTGAGTTCGAATCTCGGCCGCGACTGACCTAAGTCGATAAAAAAAATAGGTAGCAACTGTTCCTTCGCCATGCTCTCGGCACTTTGAAGTGTAAATTGCGGGTCCTTCGGATGAGATCTTAAAAACCGAAACCCCGTGTCACGGCAGGCGTTGGCACGATAAAGAACCCTCACTGCTCAATGGCCCTGAGTGCCGAGTAAAGGTCCAAATTTGAAGCCCTTAACCGGTATATGGTGACGTCCCTATATAAGTGAAAAATTCTCGAATGGGACGTTAAACAACATACATTCAATCAATCCATGGGTCAATGGAGTGATGTCGATTTGAACAAGAGCCAAAACCAGTATTTATTGCACCCACCATCAATTTCTATTAGGCTGAGTATAAAGTACATGTACTTTATTAAGGAAACCTCAATCCATTTTTATGCATGTATCACGTTACTGTCAAATCATTTGACCAAACTAAATTTGTTTCAAAAGTGGGGTTATTTTAATTCGCGTGAAATTAGTATTATAATATAATAGCTTTACAAAAATAAAGTATTGTCTATTTGTGCACGCGTCTATATTCCGTTGATTTCTTTATACATGTAGTACGCCTAAACAGTTGTTGGAATATTAGCAAGGTGTATTTCAATGCATATATTATTTGACAAAGTGTCTTTACCCAACGATCCATTTATTTACCAACTGTCAGGTATGGATACTTAATTAATTTACATAGCAGAAATAGTTATAAATCTGCATAAATCTGACATGGAATAAAGGCTATGGCTTCCTTAACCGATACATTTGAAGAGTGTAACCAAAATTTTATTATACAATGCAGAAAAATATTTGAGAAGAAATATTTTTACCAAATATATTTTTTTTCGAAATCGTGTAGTCTTTGCAAAATGTTTTTTGTGTGTGTTTTATTACAATGGGTAACATAGTGATACGCGCAAGTGGCACCTACCAAATACATGTAATTAGTTCGTGCATGCACTGTGAATGTTTTAAGAAATTTTATCTTACCTTTATGGGCGAAGCCAAGGCGCCGACAACTACCGCTGCAAGTACCACTAATAGATTCATCTTGATGAAGTTTAAACCAGGTTTCCTGCTCTGCAAGGTTTTAGGATCGCAACGGGTTTAAATAGCTCCGGGGAACATTTCGAAATGTGGTTAAATGTTTCAAAGGTTAGCTAAATAATGGGGAGAAGAAAAGGGATCATATTTCCTCGGGTACAATTCTACAGTACTCCATAAGGGACAAAGGAAAACTTGCACTGAGTGATAATATTGTTCACTTATTAGTCACAAGATTGCTTGTGTTCCTCATATAATTTGAAAGGGTTAAAAAAAGATTTAAGTGACTAGATTTTTCAAAGAAAATTTGTTGGTGCACATAACTGATTACAATTGTAAGGTTTTATTTCGATTCATTCGGTAAATTTTTAGAATATGTATAAATATAATATATACAAGAATCGTACTTCTTACAAAATGCGTAAAACAATTATACAGGCATCTGCTAAAGGTAATATGGCATTTTAAAAAATCACAATTATTTCATGTTGTACGTCCTTTTATAACCACGAGTTCTGCGTATCAATGTTACCCCTTAATTTCCTACAGTATATATGTATATAAAATGACACTTCAAGCAGAACACAAAGTATGCACTTGAATGGCATCGAAAGTTGTTATGATATTTACAATGTGCTATAATTGTTTATGTCTATCTATCTATCTAATCTAATCTAATCTTACAAAAAGTTTAACTCTTAGAGAAAATGGTACATGTACGCATGCTATATCTACAGTCTTACAGATTTATAAGGAGATTGATCTATTTGTACATTAATTTACTGTGCATTCGTTAGAAGTTGTGTGGCATATGATTCCAATATTAATATTTTTTGTTTGTAGACTTGAGAAGCTTTGTCTGTCACCAACTGATGTTGGTAATTATGTAATTCCGTAGATTTCGTCTTTCGTAAATGCATTGATATGGAACCTCCTTCTTTTAATTCTACATAGAGTCAATATTAAGGCTGCAATTTTATGCCATTTTTACCTCCTACAATCAGCAAAGCAGATCAAGATATAAAAGCTTAAGATTTCAAAATAATTCACTTTGCATGGTTGATACCTCACCCTAGTTTTAATTTCCACCTTTCTTGTAAAACATAATGCAGTTTTCAAAGCCTCTGCAACTTTGACCTATCTGACACAATTTTCTTAAAAAAAAACAAACATATTTTGTCTTTTTAAAAATTAGCACAGTCAAATTGTTTTAAAATATACTTTTTAGAATTTTGATAAGTTTTAATGTGTGTTTTTCCTATTGAAATCTTATACAGTTACATCTACACTTTTAACTGGATCTTACTGTGGTTCTCAGCATGTACCTTCAGCCTTTTCTCTTCCCTTTTTTTATTTTAAAAAGGTCTAATAAAAGATGTATATGCCCTGGCGAAGAGATCAAGATATGAAGAGATATACCAACTCCCGCAATGTACTTTGTGCCGAAGTTAGGTCTTTTTAGGTCACCTGAGTCACTCAGGTGACCTATTGCTATCCGTTCTCGTCCGTCGGCGTGCGTCGTGCGTTAACATTTGAACATTTTTAGCTTCTTCTCTGAAACCGCTTAACCAATTTCAACCAAATTTGGCATATAGCATCTATGGGTGAAGGGGAACAAAAATTGTGAATTTCATGGTCCCTGCCCCCCTGGGGCCTGAGGGGTGGGGCTAAAACCACCAAAAATAATGCAATCTTTAAAAATCTTCTTCTTTACTCCTGGACATCAAGCAGTCAAACTGTTGGCATCATTGTAATGAGCATTGAGCCCTCTACCAAAATTGTGAAATTCATGGCCCCAGGGTCAGGGGTTCTGGCCCCAGGGTGGGGCTATATAGATCATATAGTGAAAGTGCATTATTTCTTTGAAAATCTTCTTCTCTGCTCCTGGGTATTAAATAAGGTAATTAAGTACATAGTTATGAAGAGCAACAGTGCCTCTTCCAAAATTGTGAATTTCATGGCCCCAGGGTCAGGGGTTCTGGTGTTAGGGCGGGGTTCTATAGATTATATAGTGAAAATACATTTATTCTTTGAAAATCTTCTTCTCTGCTCCTGGGTATTAAATAAAGTAACTAAGTACATAGTTATGATGTGGAAGAGTGCCTATTCCAAAATTGTGAAATTCATGGCCCCAGGGTCAGGGGTTCTGGCCCCAGGGTGGGGCTATATAGATCATATAGTGAAAGTGCATTATTTCTTTGAAAATCTTCTTCTCTGCTCCTGGGTATTAAATTAAGTAACTAAGTACATAGTTATGATGAGCAAGAGAGCTTCTTCCAAAATTGTGAAATTCATGGCCCCAGGGTCAGGGGTTCTGGTGTTAGGGCGGGGCTCTATTGATTATATAGTGAAAATGCATTAATTCTTTGAAAATCTTCTTCTCTGCTCCTGGGTATTAAATAAAGTAACTAAGTACATAGTTATGATGAGGAAGAGTGCCCCTTTCAAAATTGTGAAATTCATGGCCCCAGGGTCAGGGGTTCTGGCCCCAGGGTGGGGCTATATAAATCATATAGTGAAAGTGCATTATTTCTTTGAAAATCTTCTTCTCTGCTCCTGGGTATTAAATAAGGTAACTAAGTACATAGTTATGATGAGCAAGAGTGCCTCTTCCAAAATTGTGAATTTCATGGCCCCGGGGTTAGGGGTTCTGGTGTAAGGGCGGGGCTCTATTGATTATATAGTGAAAAAGCATTAATTCTTTGAAAATCTTCTTCTCTGCTCCTGGGTATTAAATAAAGTAACTAAGTACATAGTTATGATGAGGAAGAGTGCCTCTTCCAAAATTGTGAAATTCATGGCCCCAGGGTCAGGGGTTCTGGTGTTAGGGCGGGGCTCTATAGATTATATAGTGAAAAAGCATTAATTCTTTAAAAATCTTCTTCTCTGCCCATGGGTATTAAATAAAGTAACTAAGTACATAGTTATGATGAGCAAGAGTGCCTCTTCCAAAATTATGAAATTCATGGCCCCAGGGTCAGGGGTTCTGGTGTTAGGGCGGGGCTCTATTGATTATATAGTGAAAATGCATTAATTCTTTGAAAATCTTCTTCTCTGCTCCTGGGTACTATTTAAACAAACTAAGTGCATGGTTATGATGCATAAGGATGCCTCTTTCAAAATTGTGAAATTCTTGGCCCCAGGGTCAGGGGTTCTGGTGTTAGGGTGGGGCTCTATTGATTATATAGTGAAAATGCATTGATTCTTTGAAAATCTTCTTCTCTGCTACTGGAGATTATTTAAACAAACTAAGTGCATGGTTATGATCCATAAGGATGCCTTTTTAAAAATTGTGAAATTCATGGCCTCAGGGTCAGGGGTTCTGGTGTTAGGGCGGGGCTCTATTGATTATATAGTGAAAATGCATTGATTCTATGAAAATCTTCTTCTTTGCTACTGGAGATTATTTAAACAAACTAAGTGCATGATTATGATAGGCAAGGATGCCTCTTCCAAAATTTTTAAATACATGGCCTCAGTTTTTGGGGTTCTTGAGGAGGGGGGCAGGGGGGCTCTATTGATTATATAGTGAAAATGCATTAATTCTATTAATTAATCATTAACTAATCCTGTATGCTCCCTAGTGTTGAGCTGATAAATAAATTGCTTAGCTATGATGAAGATGGGAGCTTCGAACAGAATTTTTAAGTCTTGTGGTCCTAGGGTCAGGGGTTCTGGCATAACGAGGAAGGGGGGGGGGGCTTTTGATAATATAGTGGAAAAGTGTTAACTCTTTGAAGTCCATAGTTATGATGATGAGGGTAACTCTTCCAAATTTATAAATTTCTTGACCTTTGGTCTTGGGTTCTGGTGTTAGGGTAAGGCTTTGTTGAATCTGTAGTGAAAATGCATTGTACCTGTGAAATTCTTCTCTGCTTCTGGGCATATCGAAAGCAAACTGAGTAAAAGTTTAAATGATATAAGTAAGCGTATTTCTACCAGATTTTTGAACATCTGGACAATTCGTCTAAGCATTCTGGTCCTGGGCAGGGCTCTATTAATTTGTATTCTACTGAGAGAAGTTATTCCCCTTTTCCATTCATCTTTGATAATTAATCACTGTAAATAATGTTTTTGAAAGGTTAATAGAATAAGATAATTATGCAAGAATGTTTATTGTATAATTCAGAAAGTACTTTCTTAGTTTTAATAATCAGATAGACCTGTAAGTAATAGATAAATAAAAACGAGACAAAAATAACTTATCTTATTAAAAGTTCTTCAAAGACCATAAGAGAGGTCATTGCTAGAGGTCTTAATATGGGTTTAAAAATAGTACAGAAGCACTAATAGTTTGTTAATAGTCTGCATGGTGATAATATTAAGTGGGGGACAGATTAGAACTTAAGTTATGAGTTGATACTGATTACTAGACTAATTATTTTGTTGATCCTGATCTTCCTACTTCTCTTGCTTTAGGGCAACAAAGCTTCATCTGTCAGTGTATTTAACTTCTAAATTGTTGTATTATACTCAGGTGACCGTTAAGGACCTTGGGCCTCTTGTCTTTAATGGGAATCTGAACAGTCGGCCAGTAGTCAGTTTGTTGATGGCATTCTTTTTGTCTTAAAAAAATTATGTGGAATCTCCTTTTAATATCAATATTACAGGCTGCAATTTCTGTCGATTGTACTTCGACTCTCAGCATATATTCCAAAATCTCTCTGTGTATTCCAATGTAAAACTCTGATCGCTCATTGTGGCCCCACCCTATCTTTGATTTGTCTGTCCGATTAAACCAGAGAGCTACAGTTTTGCATCTATATCTATTTCGTAAGGTATAACTACTGTCCTAAAAATGATGTGCAGTTGATATTTGTAAAGATATGTTTTTTCATTATAGAATTTGGTCTCTTTTCGCTTAAGTTTTAATTGATATTAAAGAAAATATCTATGCAATGGTTTGCTTTGACAGATACATCTTAAATGTATTTGGAAAAAAATAGTTAAAATATATGTACAGGCGTTTTATTTTTTTTTGTTTTGTGGGACTGAGGTAACTTGTACAGGCGTTTCATGATTATCTGTGATGTGGGACTGAGTTAATTTGTACAGGC